TTTTGAGCATTAATTATTGCTAAAGTGAAACCAAATCCTCTTTTCTTCATCTAATCTACTGTAGCTACCAAAATATATGTTTTATTAAAAATGTGTGTAAAATTTATTAGTTGTGTATGTACTCTTTTCCTAGTAATTAACTGATTTGTGAAATTAGTTTTATTTTTAAAAAGAGTAGTACATAGAGACTTATGCAATATATGAACATGTAACATTTTAAAATATTTTCAAAAATAATGTTATTACTCTTGGATAATTCTTTTTCTCAGACTTTGTATCACCTGATCCTTTGATTTATTTTATATTTTGTCTGTTATTTACTAATAAATGATATAATTGAGAGCTACTTTTCATCATGCTAACTTTTAGGTTAGGGGATAATAAGGTGAATGATTTTTGTCAGCTAACGTCTATTCTAATTTATATGAGCACTATAGCCTTTGTTTTATATCATAAAGGAAAGTATATAAAAAGCTGTTCTTAGATATAGAAACTAATTGTTTTAGTTGTACAGAGCCACTATTAATCTGAGCAGAGATGACTAAATAAAACAGTACTTCCAAAGTTGTGGGTATGGTATAGTATTTCAGTGGGACTTCGGAGAATAGGAAGGAATTAGTAAGTAGAAGAAGAAATGGCAATTAATGCTCTAACACAGTATTTTGGCAAATTTTTCATTTTCTTTGAATAAATTTGAGATTTCTGACTATGAATTATGCATTGCAGAAAAATTAATAGCTGCCTTAAAAGAGATATGATGCTTCCTTCTTGTATTGTATTCCATATCAACTCACTAGAAGGAATGTGTGTTCTAAGCACAGAATTGTTTACCACAGTATTTTAAGAGTGGAGGGAGAAAGGCAGCATGTTTTCTAGTACATGCTGCTGGTTGTAGTTGAACAGATGCTTAAAACAATGAAGTAAGTTTTTAAAAAGTTCGCCAGAGAATGGTGAGCTGTTTTCAAACTGACAACATAATTTAATTGGTTAAAACTAACCTTACTTAATTAAACTGAAGAACTAGCTTTGTATTCTTTCAAATGTATGCAAATATTTTTTTAAAACATAAATCTACTTCTCTTGTGAACTGTCAGTTACCTTTTTTGTGGATTGCAGTTTATATTCTGCACAAAGGGATGCAGGTAAAGATGTTAGTGGAGGCTGAAATGCAGTTCTTGTTCAGTTGCCAAAGGCCCTTTGCAATTTTCTGGAAGACAAAGGAGCTGTTGATGATTACACATTTGCTTAATTTTGTTCGACTCAGCACTTCACTTCTAGAATAGTATAGATAGAATTTAGGAATTCACTAATACTTCATACAACTATAGAGTAGTCAGATATCCAGTGTGTATATTCCCCTCTGATCATGACATCTTGGTACATTGTGTGTATGTGTCATGTGATTAAAAGGAAAATCTACCAACCCATCTCTGCTTTTCTTGAATTTAACATTTCAAGTTTATAATTTCATTTGGTTATGCTATCTTGTTAGTACTTACACAATGGATTTTTATTTGTCTTTCTGATTCTATTCATATATTAAAATATTTAAATTTTAATTTCAGGTATATTATATTTTTTTGCCCATGTGACCTAGTTTGCCAGGCCTATTCATACCTACCTGTTCAACTCTTGGCTGCTGGAATGAAGGAAGTGACCAGAACTTGGAAAATAGTAGGTGGAGTCACACATGCTAATAGCTATTACAAAAATGGCTGGATAGTCATGATAGCTATTGGATGGGCCCGAGGTAATATTAACAATATGTGTTCGGAAATATTCTGTTACTGATGTTCCATAACTACTGAATAGGGAGGATTGCACAGTTTACTCATAACAGGTGTTTTGGAAGGGGGAACCTTGAATTTTGGCTCATAAGGTTAATTGAAAGCTAGTACTTATCACTAGCCATCAACTATGATACCGAATGTGACTGCCTTTTTGCTTTGTTTTTGTTTCTTGAGATAGCTTGTCTCTGTTGTTTAGGTTGACCTTGAACTCAGAGTCATTCTCCTGCCTCAGGTTCCCAAGTACTGGGATTAGAGGCATGTACCACCACACTGGCCAGAGCCTGACTGCCTTGTGATAGGAAATTTTTATGATTGGTTTCATTAGGAGCCCCTGAGGCAGAGGGATTATTTTACCATAAATAAAATAAGAAATTATGTGATTCATGTAAATAACAAACATTGCTCCTTTTCATGTTTTTTTTTCTTCTCAGCCACAAATTACTGAGAATAGTAAATATGGTTGAATATGGATTCATGTTCACATTGTGTCAGTTGGTCAGTTGCTTTTGCTCTTGTTTTATATATAATAATTGAAGGAGTTCCTCTAAGCTCTTGTTATGTGTGCACCAAAAACTAACCATATGAGAAAAGAAATGATAACACCAAGGGTTCTTTTTTTTTTTTCTCTTCAGGTTTGAAAGAAACCTCTAGTCATATTCTCTGTGCTTAAGGCCCCAATTTTACCTTAATTACAGTGGACAGTTCCCATGCTAGTGAAAAGGGAGAGTTGCAGTTGTTTTAGTATCCGAAATAACAAAGCATATTTTTTTCTTCTTCTCAAGAATTCTGTTTTGACACTTGAATTCTAAATCAGGTGGTAAAATTATGACTCCCCTGAAATATTTTATTTTTTATTTTTCTATTTTCTTGTTGGCTAAATATTCTTGTTTTCTTATTTTCAGGTGCTGGTGGTGCCATTATGACGAAATTTGAGCAGTTAGTAAAAGGAGATTGGAAACCAGGAACTGATGAATGGCTGAAGATGTCCTTGTATGTTGGTATATGTTATACTTAGATCTGGATATTTACCCTTAGATTTTACTGAATTTCTTTCAAAGAACATTTTGAGGACTCTAAATGTGAATGAAATATAGCTAAAAAGTGGTAATGACAGTGGAAGAAACATAAAATTCTATTTTTTCCGAGAATTTGTCCTCCCAAATGAAGTTTCAAAATAAATACTCATTCTCTTCACTGTGGGGTTCTGCCGTTAGAAAACAAAGCCAAATCTCCGTGTTATCATAGAATTGTGAGAAGGGTATCTACATATGAGAAAGAACTATGTGTCTGGATGGAGATGAATTAGTTACAAGCACTTGGCATTTTCATTAATGACTATAATATCACCCTCATTTCAGATGATATATAACTATAGCAGTAAAGTGACAAATATATGGGAAAAATCAATCTAACACCCTGTAAATTGCTTGAAAAATAACAGTTGAGCTTAATTATATGTAAAAATAAGATTAAGATAATAGTCCACTATGTACTTGTATGGAGCAAAGTACATGTTGAATCTATTTAAGAGAACTTAATCATAAAATGTTTGCTACAGATACAGACCTAATCTTAAGTAACTCACCAATACATACTTGATGTACCTGAAAGTGAATAGATAGTCACTGTTCCTAAAGTTTGGGAAAAAAATGTAGGAATAGTAGCCATAACGAGTAAGTTGAAAAAGAATTTCATGTGAAAATAAGCTCATGTTTGAGTTGAAAAGGGATTAAAAATGAAGGTTGAGCAGCATTGTGAATGGTAATACACATCTGAGTGAGCCAACAAATCCCGGATACTTAAGTTGGAAAATAAACTCTAAAGCATGAAAGAGATAGTTTAGAAATAAAATGTTAGAAGCTTGGATTGATGATGTTATTAATATCAATATTATTCACGAGAAATTTCCCTCAGTTTGAATATATGCCCTGAAACATCTTCTATAATACATTTCTTTGGACTTTTATAACCAAAACCAAATTATGTTTCACCTTTGTTCAAAACCTTGCAGTGACTCCCCCACGTGCCCTGTATGGTTTTCGAAGGTCTGTGCATCCACCACCCTAATTTGCTTTGGTTTCATCTCTTATTATTATGATCGGCTGTCTTTATCATTCCACTCTGTCCTTGAACAAGGCAAGTGTGGTTGGGTTCAGCAGTTGCTTTTCTCTCTGCCTGGAATCTGTTTCCCTAAGTGGTTCCAAGTAGTTTGCTCAGTTTGTTCTCTTTGCTCAGAATAGTTTTTCAGCATTTACTGTCTCAGCTCAGACTAGTCAGCTTATTCCCTTTCATTTTCTTTTTCCAGTAGCATTTATCACCTCTAACATGCTTTCTTTTCATTCTGTTTCTTCTCTATCACATTTCGGTGAATTTGTTTATTTCCTCTTTTTGCTGTATTTTATTGTATGGTGTAATCCCATTTTGTTTATCTGTTCATCTATTGATGGCTATTTAAGTTGATTTTAGTTTCTAGCTATTCTAAGTAAAGTTGTTGTGAACATTTGTATGCACTTCATTGTGTAGACATACGCTTTCATTTTAACTGTGTAAATATATTGTTGTGGAATGTCTGTCTGGGTTATGTAGTAGTTGTATTTTTAACTTTTTGAAAACCACTGAGCAGTTTCCCAAAGTGTCTATTTTTTTCTTACATACGTCTTAAGAGTTCTAGTGTTCCATATTATTGCCAAGGCTTGTATTGTTAGTCTTTTTAAAGGCTAACACAAATTCTAATAGGTATATTTCTGATTATGGTTTAAGTAGCATTTCCCTTTGGACTAAAGCTTTTTTTTTAATATGCTTGTTGGCCATTACCGTGTTTGCTTGACGAGGGTCTCAGTATCTCTGTCTACTATCATTATTATTATTATTATTATTGGTTATGTAATTTACAGAGTTGTAATAATTCTTTGTATATTCTGGATCCCATTTCTTTATTGGGTGTGTGTTCTTTGGATAAAGTACAATTTAACAATTTTTAAAATGCTTTTGTATTCTATGAAATCTTTGCCTATTTCTGAGTTGCAAAGCTATTCCTCTTAGGTTTTCAAGAAGTTTCTAATTTAGCTTTCACAGTTAAATTTATGAACTAATTAAAATTCTTTTTGGTAATAGTATTATATGTTTTGATACTTGTTTTTCTGTCATATGCCCATTTGTTACAACCATTTATTGGGAAGTCCTTCCTTTGTCCAGTGTATTGACTTGTTACGTGTTTTGTACCTTTAACTTCTGATGAGGGTCAGAAGGAAGTGAGAAGCATTTTAGAGAAAGCCTAAGTGACCACAGAGAATATACAGAGTGTCATAAATAGAATGTTGTAGAAATGTACGTTAAAGGTACTTGTGAGGTTCTCAGAAAAAAATGAGAAACATGACTTCCTGCTGGAGCTGGTCACTATTTTATTTGAGCCTGTTGGATGCACTGCTTCCCCAATCTGTGCAGTAGCCTGAAATTGGCTATAATGGGAATATTTGCATCATGAAAATGGGCAGATACTACAGATATGGGCATTTTCCCCCTTCCTCTCACCTGAGAGCTTATTTAACACTGAAGGTTTTTGGTTTTTTTCCGGTACCAGGAATCGGACCCACGATGTCACGCTTGCCGGGCAGGCGCTGTGCTACTGAGCTAAATCCCCAGCCCCTAGCCCTGAAGGTTTTTAAAGACTAATTCTAAGTCATACCATGGAATATAAGACTTTGAAGTCTTTTTTGAAAAAGTATTTTATTGCCAAATATGTTTGCATATTTGAATTACAGAAGCATATTCACTTAAAATTTTTCTATTAGTACATGTTTGAGTGTATGTGTTTATAGAGTTATTATAGGTGATAGGTGCATACTTAGTTTTGTTAATTCCTCTTTCCCTCCCTTTCTTCGCCCTTCCCTCCATCTCTAGCTCCCCTTCCCATTTGCAGAAGATCTGTTTCCCTGTTTGCTATTGTCTGTCCTTTATTTTGTTTTTAAATTTATACTTTGGTTTCTCATATGAAAGAAGTTCTATGATATTTAAGCTTGTGTGTCTGATTTAGTTCACTTAACGTGATGGTCTCTAGGTGCATCCATTTTCCTACAGATGACTCAAATTTCTCCTTCCTTATGGCAGGGTAGCATTTCATTGGGTATACATAATCACATTTTCATTGTCCATTCCTTTGTTGATGGTTATGTAGGCTGCTTCCAAGATTTAACTGTTATGAGATGTGCTGCTATAAATGGGAACTTACAGTGGGACTGCATTATGCATGTATCTCTGTGGTATGGTGTTTTATGTCTTCTGGGGAAATACCTAGTAAGGGAATAGCTGGGTTAAATGGAGTTTCTGTTTTTAGCTTTTTTCAGGAATCTCCATGTTGATTTCCATTGAGTTGTACTAATTTATGCTCCCACCAATCATGTAGAAGAGCACTGTTTTTCCCCTGCAGCCTCCTGGCATTTATTATAACTTGATTTTGTGAAGATAGACATATTTTCTGGAGTACGATGGAATCTCACGTGGTTTTAATTTGCATTTCTCTGATGACAAAGATGTTGACTATCTTTTCGTGTATTTGTACTTCTGAGAAGTGTCTGTTCATTTCAGTTGTGCATTTTTTGATTGGCTTTTTTATTTTGAAGGGTCTGATTTTTTTAGTTCTTTCTATATTCTGTCAGAGGAGTAGCTAACAAAGATTGTTTCCCTTTCTGTGGGTTGTCTCACTCTGTTGGTTGTTCCTTTACCTTACAGAAGCTTTTTAATTTGATATAATGCCATTTGTTGATTCTTAAGATTATTCCTTATGTAATTGGGGTTCTGTTTAGAAAGTTCTTTCCTGTGCTTACTTTATTACCTATTTTATCTTCTAGCAAGTTGTTTTTAATATTCATGTCTTTGATACATTTTGGTTTTATTTTGGTACATGGTGATAGATAGGGGTCTAGGTTTGGTCTTCTGTGTGTATGTAACCAGTCTTCCCACCACCATTTTTTTTGTTGTTGTTGTTGTTTGTTTTCTGGTACCAGGAATCAAACTCATGACCTCGTGCTTGCTGGGCAGGTGTGTGCTGCTGAGCTAAATCCCCAGCTCCCCCACCACTATTTCCTAAAGAGGCTGTCTTTCCTCTAGTATATGTTTTTGGCCTCTTTGTCAAAGATCAGATGACTTAATGTGCCTGCGGTTGTTTCTTGATCTTCAGTTCCACTGATTTGCATGTTCTTTTTTGTGTAGGTACCGTGCTGTTTTTATTAGTGTAGCTTTGTAATGTAACTTGAAATCTGGGATTGTGATGCTTCTTTAGTTTATCAGAGTCATGATACACACAGACATTCTAAGATATCTAATACTTTTTTCTGTGAAGAAAGGTACTTTGTATAATTCAGCTGTCTAAAACTTTTATAAGTATTTTCACCAAACTCATTTTTGTTAATGCTAATAGCCCACTAAATTAGTCAGTACTCTGAGATTTACAGAGTACTTTAAGATTTAGATAGTAATTTACAGAGTACTCTGAGATTTAGATAGATCTTGTTTATTACTTACTCAATGTGTTTTATTTTCAGCCCTTCCAAGTTAACTCTGCTGGGGTCAATTATGTTCACGTTCCAGCACACCAAGCATCTAGCAATATCGAAGCATAATCTTATGTTCTTTTATACCGTCTTTCTTGTGACCACAAAGGTAAGAGTTCCAAGTATCTATAAGTTAGTATTACGAATGCTATGTAATCTTTCTCCTTTGATAGAATCTGTGTTACTGAGCCAGTAACAAGAACATTTATTTTGTATTGTTATTAAAAATGGAAAGGATAAATTTTGGAGAGTTTATTAGAACATAACATAACATCCTCAAACATAGCTTTCTGTAATTCCTCATTTGTTTTATGTTGAGGCTAACAGAAAACATTTGCAGATAGCAGGTTAGTATATTGGAAGGGAAGAAGTAATGGAAATAGTTAAGGCTGATCAGTGACTGCAAAGATAATGTTTGTGCATGTATAAAATGAGGTACCTAGGGTAGATAGTCTCTGAATTTCTATAAGCTCTAAGATTTTAAGATTTTATATTTGGATATATTTATGTTCATTCTTTTTTATTATTTTCTGGCTGGATACTTGATTTATGAAGATGGGAGCTATTATGGTATCAAATTGTGAATTTTAGAGATAGGCAGTGTTGGTTTCAATTTTAGTTTTGTTACCTAGTCTTTTGAGTATGCATGTCATTTAATGTCTCTGTGTTAGTCATCTTTCTATTGCTGGGACAAAATACCTGACATTCACAGTTTAAGAGAAGAAGGTTTCTTTTGGTTCATAGCTGCAGAGGGTCAGTCCATGGTCAGTGCCTTCCCAGTCAGAAACATGGTAGAAGAAGCTGCTAACCTCAGAAAGCTGCTAACCTCAAGGGAGCAGAGTGGGCAAGGAAGAGCCTGAGAGAAAGGGGCCAGGGATTAGATTTAGTCCCCAGTGTCATGCCCTTATAACCACCTCAGACACATCAGAAATGTGCTTTACTACTCTCCTAGGCCTCTCTCAAACCAGTCAGTTTGACAGTCAGGATTAGCCACCATAGTCTGAATCTCAGTTTTCTCATCTTCACTGAGTGATTGTTGAGAGGATTGGAATGACGTATGACATTCTGTTATTGTGTCTAACACATGTTTTGAGTTTTTATTTATAGCTGTATCATGAGGTAATTCTGATTTTTTTTAGCATTATTAGGTATTACTTTGTATTCATAAGTAGGTAGTTGATTTTAGAACAAGATTATCATTTAAACATAGAGAAATTTTATGGCTGCCTCTATTTCAGACCAGATATTTTTGGCCAAAACCTTACATATAGGACTCTTTTTTTTTGTTTGAGTACTGGGAATCAAGCTCATGACTTCATGCTTGCCCTGTGCCACTGAGCTATATCCCTGGGCCTACCCACAGGACTCTTAAAAGAAAAACAGTATATAAATTTGTATTTTAGAAAGAATAAAGTAACTATAGACACTATTTATACTTCTATAATCTTTGCAGTAAGGCTGGCTTGTACCTATAGTGTACTTCAAATATCTAAGGCAATATCCCTTCACAGTCCTTCAGTTTTGAGCTGTGTGTAATTTTTTTCTAACAGTTTTATTGAGATATATTTTACATACTATACAAGTCACATGCTTAAAATTTAAGTTGGATGGTTTTTAATATATTTTCAGAGTTGTGCAGTTATTACTACAGTCAATATTAGAGTATTTTTATCACCCTAACAAAAAAACTCATACCCATTAGCAGACAATTCACATTTTCCTCAACATCCCTAACTTTATTCCATTTTATTTTCCTATTGAACATTTTGGTTGTTTCTCCTTTTGGCTAGTCTGCATAATGAGCTATGAACATTCACGAACAAGTTTTTAGCTGGGCATGTGCTTAATTTCTCTTGACTGTATCATCTAGGAATAGAATTGATAAGTCATTTGGTAAGTATATACTTGACTTTTTAAGGAACTGATGGGTTGTTTTCCAAAGTGGGATCAATTTGCATTCCTATCAGAAATGTATGAGAGTTCTAATTGCATGTGTTGTCTTTTTTTTTTTTACTGTAGCCATGTTAGTGGTAGAAAGTGATATCTCATTATGGTTTTGATTTATATTTCCCTGACAATTAATGATGTTGCATATCTTTTCATGTGTTTGTTGGCCATTTGTATATCTTCTTCAGAAAAATGCCTCTTCAGGACATTTGCCCATTTTTAATTATATTATTTGTCATTTTAATGTTAAGTTGTAAGAATCTTGTGTCTATGGTACTCTGAAATTTAGATTCTTATGGTTTGAATCTTAAATGTTCCCCAGGGGCTGTGTACTGAAGGATTAGCCGGCAGCCTGTGGTGGTATTGTGTTGTGTGGGGTTAGGTCGTTGGGTGTGTGTCCTTGAAAAGGATATTGAGACCCTGGCCCTTCTCTCTCTCTTTTTGCTTCCTGGCCATCATGAAGTAAAAGACCTTTTTTTGCCATTTACTCTCTGGCATAATGTTCTGCCTCTGCAGGCCCAAAGGCAGTGCAGCCAACTGGAATGGACTGAAAACTCTAAACCTTGAGCCAAATTCTTTCTTACTTGTGAGTAGATTGTCTCAGGTATTTTGGTCACAGGAATGGAAAGCTGACTATAGTCTCTCTTCAGTTTTATACTTTGTAGATATTTTTTCTCATTCTGAGTTTTCTTTTCACTTGCTAGTGTCCTTGAGAGTACAAATTTAAACAATTTTGATGAGGTCCAATTTACCCACTTTGTCTTGTTTTTTTGTGCTTCTCATGTCATGGCTAGAAATCCATTCCCGAATCCAAGGTCATGTTTGCCTTCATGTTTTTTCCTGAGAGTTTTATTATTTTAAGTCTTATGTTTAGGTCTTTTATTGTTTTGAGGTAATTTTTGTGTGTGGTATGAGGACAGGACCAATGTAATTATTTTACATGTATATATCTGTTTGTCCCAGCACTGTTTATTCAAAAGGCTATTCATTCTTCTCTCACTGAATTCTCTCATCAGAAATCATTTGAAGACAGCATGATGCAATATAGTAACCATTGTTGAATTCCTGCTATCTTGTCTATCATTTTAACTGTTTTTAAAATTATTTTTATTCTCTTTAAAAAATCAGTTGACTGTAAATTTGATGATTTATTTCTGGAAACTGGGTTTTATTCCATTCATATATGTGCCTATCCTTATTCTACTACCACACAGCCTTAGTTGCTGTAGCTTTGTAATTAATTTTGAAATCAAGAAATGTGAGTCTTAGTCAGATAGTTTTGACTTTTGGGTCACTTAAATCTCCATAAAAATTTAGTATGAATGGTTTCTGCAAGGAAGTCAGCTCTTATTTTGATAGGGATTGCTTTATATCTATAAATCACTTTTGAAAGTATTCCCATTTTTACTGTGTTAAATCTTCCAGTTCATCAACACAAGAGTTACTTCCATTTATGTAGGTCATTTTTAATTTTTTCAATGTATAATTTTGATACTTTTTTGGTTAAATTTATTTCTATGTATTTATTTTTTTTGATTCTGTAGTAGATGGAGTTTTTAAAAATTTTATGTTTTCAAGTTATTCTTTATAAATACAGAGAAATACTGTATACATATGTATGTATTTTCTTATAGGTAGTAACTTTTTTTTTTTTGCTAGTAACCTTGTTGAATTCATTCATATATTAGCACTAATAGTTTTGGTTTTTAACTCATCCATTTGTCCAGATTCCGTTCAGATTTATGTTAATTTTAAAATGACATCTCGTGGGTGTTTTCTGAATTGCTGTGTTTCATTGCTTAGATGTATTTTATGTATGTGTGTGCACACATGTATATGTGTATGACAGGAATGTACAGAAAAACTTGACAGTAATTATTTTACTTTTTCTTTTCCTGTATTATACAGTCAAATAATTTCCTTTGTACATTTATTTGGGATAGTAGTAATTCATGTATGGGCATATTAACAGATACTAATACATTCTCAAGGACAGTATTTCCCCCAAAGCATAACAAACATGGACAATATGTATAAAAATAGTGAGTTCTATAGGAGAAATAGAAAATAAATGTCCTTCAGCAATGTTCAATTTCTAATATCACTGTTGTCATCCTAATTCAGTAGAAGCAACTCTGTGGAAAGCCTTAGGTAGTCTCTATTTTCATATATGCAACTATCTTAGTTATCTGTCTTGTTGCTGAGTCAAAATACCCGACACCCAAAGTTAAAGGAAGAAAGGTTTATTGTAAACCTTTATAGAGGTTTCAGTTCATAGTTGGCTGGCTCCAAGGAAGGTTGGCATGGCAGAGGGGCATCACAGAGGAGAAATAGTTCATGGTGGGCAGAAGGCAGCAAAGCAGTGAAGTAGCAAGCATCAAGGAATGGTGTCAGCCTACTTTATGCCCCTTATATGCTATCCAAGCTACCCACACTTAGGGTGGGGTGCCCTTAATCCCAGCATTGCACCATTAATCCCAGCATCACCTACTTAATCTCATCGTCACACACCCTAGAATCAGCCACCACTGAACGCCCCACCAGTGACTGCATGAGGATTTGAGGGGATGTCTAGATGTAAGCCATAACATTCTATCCCTAGTCCCCCAAAGACTTACACACAGCCCTTTTTGCTAAAGGCATTTAGTCCATTTCTAAGAGTTGCCAAAGTCTTAGCACTGCTGAAAAGTCCAAGTCCCAAGTCTTCTGAGATTTAAGGCAAACTCCTTGCTGCAAGCCCCTGTACAAATGAAAGAAAGTGAAACACTTCCAACATACAATGACAAACATTACCATTCCAAAGGTACAAGTAGGGGAATAGAAAGGAATGGAATCAAAGCAAGTGTAAAATCCAGCAGGGCAAACAAACATTAAGTCCTGTAGTTCCATGTCTTGCATCGTGTGCAATCTGTAAACTCTAAAGGGCTTGGGTGGCTTCACCATTATTGCACTGTGGGTGGATGCAGTTCTTGTGGCTTCTCTCTTGTGTCAGTTTTGCTCATTCCTTGCAGCTTTCCTCAGGTGATCCATATTTCTGGCTTTTTCAGACTTCTTGGGTCTCTGCTGCACCTTTGACTTCACACACTGCCTTCTCAGGGGCACACTGCCTGGCTTCGCAGACCTTCTTCAGAAATCTGGATGGAAGCCTTTCTGACTCCACAA